AACTCTTTTATTTTTTGTCAAACTTTTCATGTCCCGAACAAAATAACTCAGCTACATTTCAGTCAAAATTTTCAACGATGAATTTTATTTTTACAAGAAATTTTTGGGAATTTGGAACTAAAAATTTAATCGAATTTTCTTCTGGCCACGGGTAGAAATCAGCAAAATCTCGGACGGATATTGCAGTCACATTCTTATTAAAAAAAATGGATTGTTTGAGTCAAGTTAAGTCAAGTTGAGTCAAGTCAAGGTCGCGCTGGTTCCTTTTTACTAAATGCGATCCATACGACCTTAGAGCGGAGATAGGAAGAATCCCCCTGGATTAACACCTATTTTCCGACAAAATCTTTGATTATCTTGAAAAGGTTTCAATTCTTAATGAATCCAGATCCTGGACATGGTGACCTGCTATCTACTCATAGTCACAGGCGGAGCCGGTAACGGGAAGAGAACGTCAACTTCCCAGTGAGAAAAATCACAAGTGCGGAAAGAGTGATGAGCCCAGGTTCATGCCCCAATAACTCTCGATGGGAAAAAGTTACGTCGAGCAAGTTTTACATCTTGACGCAGTCATTGTACACTGACTAATTGAACCTCTCCTCTCTCGACTCGCCCCTCCGCGAGGAGCTCACGAGCCGCGCGACTCGGATCCCGCGGGAGTTCCAGGGCTCATGAGCTTTGGATGCTTGCGCGGATCGGCGACTTAGAGTTCGATCGACGGGTGCGGCAACTTGGACCCGAACTTCAAAACTCGCCACCCGACCCCCGTGAATGATTGTTTTCAATTTAAACTTTTTCATTTTTCCCTTTTTCTGTTCAACCCACTTCGCCGGAGAGATAATCACGCTCCTCGAATGCTCCCTTCGGCTCCCTGTCACGGTTCGTCTGGCTAACCCTTACGGCGCGCGGCGTCCGAATCAATCTCCTAGACCTCTATGTGGGATTTTTTCTGTTCTGTCTCTTAGAGTCGCTTTATGCTGAGAGTCAAGACAATATGAATCCATTTCTGATTGGTTCCCGTATTTTAGGCCTTCACAGTGTCACAAACGGGAATAAAGATTACATTAACACCGATTGCAAAAATTATAATCTGGAATGGACCAGGGAATTACGGGTTCGGCAAGGAACAAACTGAATGAGAGCAGGAACGCAAAAAGGAATTTGAGAATGGGCCGGTCAAAGATTACGAAAAACGTTCAATTTGTGTAAAATCTTTATTCCCGTTTGTGACTCCATGAGAGGGTGTTGTCTTGACTCTCAGTATAAAGGGACCCTACTGCCTCTCTCGGAAGTCAGCTTTCGTCATAGTCAAGTGAGAAAATTGAGGCGTTGGGTGCAGAAAGGTCATTTCTTCGTTTCGGTGTCTCAAAATCTTCACTGCTTTCATAATTCATATCATAGAGAGGAAATTATGGGGTGAATTTTCCGATGCTTTTTCGGCAGAATATCTTTTCCGCACAAAGTACATTTGTGGTAATTTTCCGATGATCGTTGCCGCACAAAATCATTTTCGCACGACAAATCAGATCTCAAACATCTGGCAACATCGCACAGCAACTGAGCAGGACAACCATGCACCCTCTTACTGTTGGACTGCTGAGCAAGGTAAAAAAAAAAAAAATTCAATCTTTGTTCACTCTTTTTTTTTATAAATATGCCTCATATTTTTCTCGACGTTGCCACACACTACAGAAAATTAGTCAAAGATTAAATGATTTTGTGCGGCAACGATAATCGGAAAAATTGCCACAATTGTACTGTGTGCGGAAAAGATAGTCAACCGTTTTTTCGTTCTCAGCACTGTAAAATCTGGGAGAGGTTTCAGTGAAAGTTCCAACAAATTTTGTACAATTGTTTAGAGCAAATTGTAGTGCGTCCCGTGGCTTTCGTTAGGTTAGGTTAAGAATATTATGTAAAGCCCAACAGCATTCCATCATATTTGTCCAGAGGATTGGGGGAGGGGGGTGGAACAAAGAGATCATAAAGGTATTTTCCTCCGTGGGCAGTCTTCAATAAATAAATCTTCCGAACAATTTTCCATAGTTTCCTTTTCCTTAAAAGTACATCGCTTCAATTAGCAGGTTTTTGTTTATTCCGGCTATCTCGAAGTAATTTCGGAGGGAGGGAGTACGTTAAGTCACGTTTAACCACGCACAATTCGTCTATTTGCTGGCAAAAGGGCGTAACTACACTCAGAGATGAGCCCTAGAAGGCATTAAGTTACATGAACGACAAGGCTCATCGCATAATGCAGTCACGTCACGAGGTCGACGCATTTACCACCCCGTTCGCGAGATAGCATAAATCAAGTGCCCGGCTAAGATTTGTCCTCGCTTGCACCTTAAGTGGCGCGGTAGAAAAAGAAAATGATGTAGGACCCACGATTTCACAATATTTGTCCCTCTGATTTATCGACCGGTCGTTTTTACCGGTAACGTATTTTCGCCCGCCCGCGTCACAGAGCTGCGGCCTTATCTGATCCAGACAGGAACCGGAAACTCAGTCACGGAAATACCTCGAGTTGCCAGGTGCCTCCATCCTAAATCCATAGCTTTTCCGTATCCGGTGTGTTATCATGCTCAATCCGTATGATCTATTTGTAATAGAGTAAGGACTGGGCTCTGTAATTTATGCTCGGTGATGTCATTATGAAGTTCGGGAAAGCTCGCAGTAGTGGCGTGGTGTGCTGTGCGATATATCGATTGATCTGTCATTTAAACCTATGGAGAAGGATCGATAAACGGGGTGTTTGCAACGAAAACCTTAATAATCGATTCTTTACCATAGCTTCAAAGGGGGAGTATCGATATTCCATCATTTTTGCCTCGACACTGGCTCGCATCTATCTATCGCTCTTGTCCCTATCGTGGTTTTTATCCTACCTTAGTCCTTAGTGTCTCTATTTGTCTGCGGCATCTGTAAACTGTAAGATAGGTCTTTCCTTGTACGATGGCTTTTCTTTTGAGAGTGGAATTTTCGTCTTTTGTTTACTGTGTCTTATGGAAATAGATAATCTAAAAAAAATGGTTCATACGTGGTTTTTAAACTAAGCCAGAGATTGTTGTTCTGAATTGCAAAATGTAAGCCAAATGGTATTATGAGAAGCCTGTTTGGCAACTGCGGGAATATTGACCCCATGGAATTCGAGAACATGTGAATATTGCAATAAATCAAGTGAAATTCGAGTCTGTTTTTATGGGTCCCCAGTGACCAGGAAGTCTGAGACGGGGAAAAAGTGCAGAGTTTTAAACCGTTAAAATTGAACTTTTCTCCCTTTTTTCATCCCTTTCCCCCCATATTTTTGGTCATTTTTCCAAACTGACAAGTGCGTGCGAGTATTTACGCTTGGAGGGGAGACAAAGTTCCGGAGATTCCTGGCGGCTCGGCGGCAGGCTGTGTTTCAAGTTTTTAATCCTGGACTGTCCTCTCTGGATGTAGCCTTAAGGCGCGATTCCGCTGGGCGTTCGTAGGCGAATTTCGGCGCGCGAGTGAGTCGACCAGCGGAACGTCCTATATGAATAGCACGCAACAGGGTTTTTCCATGTACGGAGATAATAGTACGGAGAAATAGTACGGATTTCATGAGGACGGTCCGGAAGTACTGAAAAAGTGCGGAAATTCCGCAAGAAGTTCAAGAATTTATTTAATTTGCTGTGATTCTTGTCGCAATTTGAGCGAGAAATTCAAATTTTTTGAATTTTTAGAATTTTGTCAATTGGAGGTACTAAAAAAGTTCTGAATTTTTACTGTTGAGGAGGTATTGAAAATCTTGGAAATGTACTGAAAAAGTACTGTAAAAGTACTAATTTTTGGCCAGCCTGTTTTAGTAAACACCCTGGCAAAGAGGCCTCAATGTACAGGTAATTATTTTCGGGTTGTATTCTATCTTGCATTGTGTCGGTTGTAAAATTTTCTCTGATTTTTTTACTCTTCCACGGTCATCCTGCGAAAATTCTATGCCATAACGTAATGCTGCTTCGTTTCCCCATCGAGGGCACGCGGCGCGCGGCGCGGCGGCCGGCCGGCTAGCGCATTAGCGCCTACAAACCCAAGGGGATACTTCAAGCATTGCGCAATGCGTGAAGTATCCGGTTAGGTTTGTAGGCGCCAATGCGCGTTCCGCGCTGGCAGCAAGCCGCGCGCCACTCCGCTCTGTTCAACTCTAATATTTAAACTCGCGGAGTCAGCTCTTTTCAACTCATGATTATGATTTTTTGCCAGCCTGTTGTAATAGACACCCTTGTCCAATTCGCCGCCGAAATTCGACTAACGAACGCTCAGCGGAATCGCGCCTTCACGGGCGATCTCCAAAAGCGCAAAATCTGGCAATGCCGGAATGAAAAACGCTCAAGTGACCACCTCCTTTCTCGGGCGTTCGCCTATGTCTTTTCAGAATCGAATATGCGATTTAAGAAGGTTATGACGAACATAACAAGCACCGAGGAAAACCAACGCAATTTGATTGAATTACGCATCGGTAGCCACCGTTATTGCCGTTATTTCTGCGAGAAGCCTCCCAAATACCCAGAAAGATCTATCGACAAATCGTCATTACTTTCACAAAAGAACGTAACTCCATTTTAATATCGCGAAAATTGAATTTTTACCAGGAGAATGTATCGGAATTTCTAACCGAAAACTCTATTTTTTCTTCTGAGCTCATGCAAGAATCAGGCAAATTTTCAACCACAATTATACGTATATATCTTCTTATAAAATTGAAATGTTTGAGAGCATTTTGCAACCTTGGAATAGAATTACGTTCCCTCGTAATGAAGGATTACTGAAGTTGGACGGAAATGCAAAGGCTGTTGTATTAATCGAAAATTCATAGTTTTATTTTGTTGTTGTTGTTGTTGTTGTTGTTGTTGCTGTTGTTGTTGTTGTTGTTGTTGTTGTCGTTGTTGTTGTTTATTTTCACAACGTGCAAATCAATTTTATTTTATTTTTAAACTTTTCTTACGCATTTTTTGTAATATATTTTCCTTTTTTTGTTTCAGGAAAACTGTCAAAATTATATTAGAATCATATCAAGGACCGGAAACGGGCACCTCCTAGTATGCGGAACGAATTCGTTCAAACCTCTCTGTCGGGAGTATACCGTTCAGGTGAGAGAAAAAATTATCGCTCTTTTCCATTTTTGCAAAAAATTAATAAACTTCACCTTGTTAAATCATATCCTACTGAAATATGCGCGTAGTTTTGGCAACCGTGGTGGTTTTGTGGAAGCAACTCTTCGAGCCTGGAAGCACCGCATTTTTTATCCTGGAACGTTGGAGGCATTCGGCAGTTGAGTCCATTCGACCTGAATTTGAAACTTGCATTGATCCGCTCTATGCTGCCAATGACGCGTCGCTCAGATTCGGGAGAACAGTTATAAAACGAGGCCGGATTATGTCTTTCTTGTCCTCGTCTGTGTCGCTCACCGACTATTAAAAAAGACAGACGGCACTGTGTAACACAGCATGTAAATAGAGCAAGGAAAACGACGCGCGTTCATGACGGCGCAGAGATACAACTATTCGTACTCGATGGATGTCCGCGTTGCATCCGCAAAATTGAAGGCGCGACGACGGTGCGATATTTGAACTTGCGATTCTCTGCTCTATACTCCTAATCTTCCGTGTTAAGGAAGAACGCCGTAAGAGCCTTCAGACGTTGCCGAGTTTCCTTCAATAAAAACTGAATTTACTGGGAAAATTGTGAATATTTTTTTTCAAAATTTTCAGACAATATTGTACGCAATTTAATCTAGATTATCTAAAAATTTCAAAGAAAAATTTGCATGAATGTCGTCAAAAATACATGTTTTATCAAGGGAAGTTTGGCAACTCTCGAATGTTCATACGGCTTTCTTCCTTAGCACGGCAGTAAGAAGGTGTCAATCACATTTGGGAGAAAACTTTAAAAAAGAAGCCGAAATTCGTCTCTCCTGTCTTCGGCTGTTTCGATACTCGATTTTTTTCTGTTCCTTAATTCGATGTCTATTTCTTTCTTTAGGATGTATCTTTAGACCTATGTCTAGAGCTCATTTGTAGCGGCCCGTAGAACTTGTGAACTATGTTTTTAGCAAGCCTTGGGTCAATTTAACCCGGCTTGAGCATCTAAGGGTACATTGAAATTCGACAATTTACCACTTTGGGCTTAGGGTCCATTAATTAAAAGCCGACTCAACTACTTTTCCGCAAAATATTATCGACCATTGGCGGATCCAGCAAAGTGGCAACGTTTCCTTTCTCCCCTCTAAACCCATGGAAATTTATCGATTATTAGAGTCAGGTGTTCCGACAAGAATCGATTACTTAGCAAAGATTTAAATGGAGAAAATCCGGTGTTGCCAAATTGCTGAATCCACCGCTGATATCGCCTCGTAGGCTCGGCTATGACATGACAGGGGTTGGAGAGTACGATCTTGGAAGTGAAGTTTCGACGTATGAGGTTCATAACACAGTTATGAAGGGCCGTTTGTAACTAAAGATACGAATATTGGCAATATATAAGAAATGATGTAATATATGAAATATTCAAGATATGTATGAAATTTTGAAATATATATACGGAACTGTCGCAATATATAAGAAATGTGACAATATTTAGGAAATCGACTCCAAAATATATGGCGAAAATCGTGCAATATATAAGAAATGTGTCAATATATAAGAAATCGACTTCACGATATATATGGCGAAATTCGTGCGATATACAGGGTGATCCATAGGTCCTTGCTATCCCCCCTAAATTTTTACCTAATTGAGGCAAAGATTTGAAACTTGGGGGATGTTCTCAGGTCAAAGGGAGCTACTTTCTGACCCCCTAAAATTTTCCGGGGAACCCTTAGGGGGGAGGGGGACGGAAACCAATTGTTTTTTCAATTGAGAAGACCCTCTTTGTTGTACCTTGTTCGAAGGAGCATCAAAAAAGGAAACTTTTCGGGTAAACCAGAAGTCAATATCTCAAATTGTTTCAAAATGGCGTTCGGTTAAAATTCAAGATGGCCGAAAATTGACACCGGTTGTTTGTCAATGGATTTGCGCGAAAATCGGTATCTACCGGTATATTGATAGGAGTAAAGCGAATTTGAAGTTAGATTTCAAAAAAAAAAAAAAAAAAAAAAAAAANAAAAAAAAAAAAAAAAAAAAAAAAAAATCCGGCCATTTTGGAATTTTTTTTTCTTTAGAAATCTAATTTCAAATTTGTTAATCTCATGCCAAAATACCCCTAACTCCCAAGTTTCTGAATTTTCGGCCATTTTGGAAATTTGTTGTTTTTATAGAAAATCTAAGTTCAAATTCGTTTTTCTCCTATCAATATACCGGTAGATACCGATTTTCGCGCAAATCCATTGACAAACAGCCGGTGTCAATTTTCGGCCATCTTGAATTTTAACCGAACGCCATTTTGAAACAATTTGAGATATTGACTTCTGGTTTACCCGAAAAGTTTCCTTTTTTGATGCTCTTTCGAACAAGGTACAACAAAGGGGGTCTTCTCAATTGAAAAAACAATTGGTTTCCGTCCCCCCTCCCCCCTAAGGGTTCCCCGGAAAATTTTAGGGGGCCAGAAAGTAGCTCCCTTTGACCTAAGAACATCCCCCAGGTTTCAAATCTTTGCCTCAATTAGGTAAAAATTTAGAGGTGATAGAAAGGACTTATGGATCACCCTTTATATCGCACGAATTTCGCCATATATATCGTGAAGTCGATTTCTTATATATTGACACATTTCTTATATATTGCACGATTTTCGCCATATATTTTGGAGTCGATTTCCTAAATATTGTCACATTTCTTATATATTGCGACAGTTCCGTATATATATTTCAAAATTTCATACATATCTTGAATATTTCATATATTACATCATTTCTTATATATTGCCAACATCCGTATCTTTAGTTACAAACGGCCCTTCATAACACAGTATCAGCGATGCATACATATGTAAGACGATTCGATGCCCGTATTATTCTACTTCTTCGCTGTATTTCGGCGGGTATATTAAAACGCAGTTCCCGAGTGCGCACATATATTGAATTCGTCGTAGCGCCGTGCAATATATACCTCGCCTGTCATGTCACGACATATTTCTAGACTTTTTCTCGCGGGAATATTGACTGCCGATGCCGAAAACTACGTTGACGTGTGTGCTTTTAGCTTCTCTTTCAGTATCAGGATCAATCCGTCCGAATTCTCAAGATGTAAATCGCACATATTGTGTCAGGGCGTATTTAAACAAAACTGATCGACCAACCATTATGCTAACCTTTAAAAGAAAGAGAACCTTTTTAATCGGTCTCAGCTCTTAGAGAATACATTCTTATTTACCTATTCGTTAATTTAGAGCGACTCATATTGTTTTCTTCGTTTTGAAGTGTCCTTAATACAACAAAAACTAAACTGAATTCATCCTTATACCCTAATTGCATCTTTCAGTTCGAAAGTGACCCATCACGAACCAATGAAATGTTTCAGGAGACGGTAAAAACGGGGTAAAAAACAGAAAAGGAGTGTTTTTACGCAAGAAAATAAACATCATAAAAAAATCCGTGTTCATGGAGAAATTATGGCAACCCTGCAAATATACATCCTTACTTTTTCAGTCATTCAATTTTCTGGGTCCTGTTCTTAATCATGAGGTGATAATTGATACCTAAAATTGTCTTATTCCAGAACATAAATTAATTAAAAATTAATTTAGCAGATTTATTTCATCACAATCTTACCAGCTTCATTATTCATCAATGCATATGTGCATGATTCAGATGCGATAAAACTTATTGGGCATTTTCCTCGAATCCAAAGCTATAAATATAAATACACAGGAGTCAACCGAGTTGCTCCCAGGAACATCGCAACGCCAACAATTCTGCAGGGCTGTGTAGCAAATAAGCATTAGACGAAAGTAGTGATAATCTCCAAAATTAGTTTTTACACGGGACACAGGAGACAGGTAGAATGCAGCTTCTTCAACATCAGGTTCATAAAAATTGATTTTATCTAGTTTTATGAAAAAAAATTCGGGTAGTCAACCGAGAGCGTCCAATTCTCGCGTCGAAATCCGCTAATCCAAATGCACTTCCGACAAAATAAAAGCCCGGCTCCCGTTTCTTTATCGGGGCGAATACTGCCGTGCTAAGGAAAAACGCCGTATGAACCTTCGGGCGTTGCCAAGTTGTCTTTGATAAAACACAAATTTCTGGTAAACTTATACATATTTTTCCTCCAATTTTTCAGAGAATTTTGTTCGTATTTTAATCTGAATCTCCTGAAAATTTCAAGGGAAAATATTCATAATTTTCCTCAAAAATAAACATTTCATCGAAGGAAAATTGGCAACTCTGGAATGTTCATACGGCGTTCTTCCTTAGCACGGCGGAATACTCCGGTTCGCTAACCCTTCCATTCTCTCGATTTTCGCGGAATAATCGTCCCCCAGCGACGCCGCCCCAAGCAGAAACCGCTTAACCCCAACTCAAAATCATACGGAAATCCGCTATTCTTACCGAGCACGGCGAAGCCCCCCTCCCCCACCATTCGCCCCGCCGTGCCCCGCCTTACGCCTTTGCCGGAGCTTTTTTTTGCGAAATTCATTTCATAGCGATCCGCTCCGTTGCGTTCCCAGCGCCGCTTTGAGAGAGCGCGTTTGAATACGAGCGGCGCGCGGTTGCCGGTTCGTGCCGAAAAACCGCGGATTTTAAAAGTAGGGAAGGGTTGATTTTGAAGGAGGTTTGGCCGCTCGCCGGGAAAGTCCCACGGTGAATTGTGGCGCTCAGTCTATGAAATGGAAATTCGAAACGAAACTCGAGCGAGCTGTTTTTTATGAGCATTGAGTTGTTGTTTGCCGCCATGATTTCGGGGGACCGACGGATTCTCGAAATCGCGCGCGCCTCCGGAGGTTTTTTGCGCCCGCTTTCCGAGCGTCTTCGGCAGTGGCGTGGCGTGCTTTGCGATATATCGATTGATCTGCCGTTTAAACCTATGGTAAAGGATCGATAAAGAGAGTGTTCGCAGCGAACACCTTAGTAATCGATTATTTACCATAGCTTCAAATGGAGAAATATCGATAATCGATCATTCACGCCTCGTCACTGGTCTTAGGGTGTTTTCCGTTGGACAAATGGACGTATTCATGCTGAAAAGAACTATGTTCATAGGGTGTGCTTGGAACATAGTTCTTTTTAGCATAAATACGCCCAAATGAAGGAAGAATATTGGGGTAACGCTGAAGAAAATTGGTTCGATCTAAGCAGAAAGGCTCTTGAACTTTCTGTCCAGAAAATTATGTACTCACAATAAGAAGACAATTGTACTGAGAAACAAGGAGAATTATTAGGTTTTTAACTTCTCATGATTGAAAGAAAACAAAGAATTGATCTTTTAGCCGATTCGGTGGCAGCGAAACGAAGTAAATTCAGGTCATGCTTGACAATAAAACAGTTTGCAAGAGAATTACATGTTTATTTAAAAATTAACAAGGTGGAGGAAGAGGAACTGGGAAGAGGCAACGGGGACGTCCCGTAATGGGTTGGCGGCAGGGCGTTGACGAAGAGATGTTGCGGTGTCAGTTGCCCGATAACCTCTGGGAAGACAGGCATATGTGGCGTTTGGGTGTCGTAGAACGCCAGAGTGCGTTATAAAGCGACTTTATATATATAACAAGGTGGAGGAATGGTGCTGGGTCCACACCATCATTTTAAAAATTAACTTTACTTGCGGGAAGGAATTTTAAAAATAGAATGTTACTTTCTTCCCTTGATTCATCTTTTTAAATCGTCATTGGTGAGTATTTGGTTTTTTTCTATCCTTAAATTTTTTTATATAAAAAACACCTTGCAAATACAATTTTATTTTATTTTTAAATGAAAATATTCCTTCATTTTAAAAAAAATTCACTTTATTGAAACGTATTACAAACATTTGTAAAACCTTTCCCAAGCGATTTCATCGAATAATCTCGGTGAGCCATAGTTGTGGTGAAAGGAACCATACAAAAATGAATAAAAGAGGGGAAAAAACCAAGAAGCACGCAATCTTTATAGTTTTAACCCAGTTGCACATCGATCTTTTAGAGTCATATACGTCCAATTTTGAGTGTTTGATTGCGCGTTCGCCATGCTGCAGCACAGTAAAAGCACAACATGTAAAAAAAATAATTAAATTGCTGGAAATCATTAAATTTGACACGGAACCACCTCAATATTTACAAAATACACATTATATTTTCCTTTAATACTAATTTTTTTTTTTTCATCAATTTAAAAGAAAATAATGCATGCAGCATGTGCAAACGTTTCAAAATCGTGAGTTGAAAAACGCTGACTCCGCGAGTTTAAGTATTGCAGCCAAACACAGATGAGCGGCATGCTGTCAGCGCGGCATACGCACTGGCGCCTGCAAACCTAAGTAGGATACTTCACGCATTGCGCAATGCGTGAAGTATCCCCGTTAGGTTTGTAGGCGCTCTCGCTCGCCGCGCCGCGCGTGCCTTGGCGCTTCAGGCAACCATTTCGCAACGGAAGTGTTGCACTGTATCATACGAAATTGAAGGCGCTCCAACGTCTTAAGAATTGCAGGCGTCCTTATAGAGCACGGAGCTTTCCTTGCAAAGTAAATCAAGAACTACGGCACAAAAAATTAGCGGTTGTCCAAAAATTCACCAAGTCCTAACATTTGTATTTAATAACGATTAGCATAATTTTTTAATTTCATTAGAAAAAATGTGACTAGATTTAGGCAGAGACATGTTTAAGTATACCGTCAAGAAGATTTTATTTTGAATCAAGAATGAAATAGCTGAATGAAAGCTGGTTATTAAATAAACATGTAATTCTCTTGTACTCTGGCGTATTGTCAAATATTGCCTAATTTTATATAGTTTCGCTTCCCCTGAACCGGCTTAAAGCTCAATACTTGTTTTCCTTTGAAAATAAGTAGCTAATATCAAGTCTTAGTCTTTTGATTTAAATCTACTTTGTGATCGAAGAGGAAACCTCCTGAACGGCAAATGCAAGAATGACCTGACTTAAATTACGTGACTTTTCCTCCAGTTGAAAGAAGAGAGGGGGGGTTGGGTTAAGGTGTTTGTGAATTTCTATACCTTACGTCATAGTTTGAGCTCGCTTTCAATAGAACATTATGAAAGTTCACTTTAACATTAATCTGAGAGAAATTTCGGAAGCTTGCAAACCGAGAAAAATCAAATAATTTGTCAGAGTCAGCATAGAGGTTGGAATAATAATAGACTTTTCACCTCGGCCAGGATTTTCTTTTTTTGAATTAGCTCAATCAGAATTTCACCACGTTTTTCTCTGCGGTCATGGTATTTAAGGATTTTTTTTCTGTTTTTAAGTTAGAGAACTTTCTATCGTTTCTTCCGAATTTTGTGCGTCAAAATTTTAATGCTATGTGTTTTTGCGCTTTTCTATACATTTTTTTTCTGTATGGAACATGAACTTTTTCTGACTTCTGTGTTTTTTATTTTACTCTTTTCAGACGGGTTCCTATACTTTAGAGAAAGAAAAACCGGGGCAAGCAATGTGCCCTTACGATCCAAAACACAACAGCACAGCTGTATATGTCGGTGAGTAAATCCTATTTCTTCATTTCGCTTTAACATATTGCGTTAAGTAATAATGGTGTGTAACGGAAACCAAGTTACGAGGGAATTATTGAAAGCTCTAGAGTTTCACGTAATTCTTATGTAGAAAATATCATAGCTATTCTTCTCCACGTTTAAGAAAACGGAGGTTGCAGAAAATAATGCTGATTTCGATTGTTTTATCGAAAAAATACCACTCTTCGGAAAATCTGCAACTTGGTAGTTCAAAATACATTTTGGTTACGCATATCGACGGTGAAACTACAAGACCACGTATCTCGTTTACGGTGTTTAACAATCTTCGCCACCATTTTATTTTTCTGAAGAAGAACAAATCAATGTGATTTCTTGAAATTTTCACAGTATTTTCTACGCACAGAGAAGAAAAATCACGGAAGTTTTCAAGATTTGGCGTTAAGTTGTTTTCGTTTTAAAAAATAAAGTATGACAGGTTTAGTCTGCAACGTCGCAAACCGAAATACGTGGTCTGGTAGTTTCACCGTGTGTTAGCATGTATAAGTGTTTTTTAACTCTTATCAATTAAAAGTTAACCAAAAAAGTTTTCATAGAACATTGAAAAAGCACAGACTTTCAACATCATCCCGCTGTAATTGGGTCCTAAGGAGAGAGAAACGTCAAAAGCTAAATGGGCATTTTGCGTCATCTCTCGTCGTGAGGAAGAAGATTCTTTTCTCCCCGCTGCCTCTGCAGTTCGTCGTGCACTTTTTTCTGCCCTTTCTATTTTCGTCACTGTTCCTCATAATTACCCGAATTAAATTCCGCTATTTTTCTAACTATTTTAAAGCCTGTCCGTCATCCTCCTCGGCGAATTAGAGCGCCCTAATTAATAAGGTACTCGGTTTGGAGTAAGTTTTAAACTGAAAGGAACTTAAATCATACTTACCAACTTATACCATTTACCGAACTTCGCCATTAGCTTTTTTTTTCTCTCTCTCGCTTTTTCTTTCGGTTCCGCGAGGTTATAACCGATGCGCCTTTATGACGTAAACACCGTAGTTCTCGTCGTTAACTTGTCTGCAGCGCTAAGCTTCAATGAACACTATTTTTCAAATCCCTCTCACCAAAAAAAAGTCAAAGATATAATCTCTAATTACTAGTGGGAGATTCGTTTTTAGTTTAATTTTTTCTCTCGCTGCAACTTTCAAGGGGAGTATCTTGGAATTAGAAACGGAAAATTATTACGTTTAACCGCACGCCAACAGGAAACCTTAGAATGTGTTTTGTGATGAAAGTCACCCATTTAAAAATAAGTATTACACGATTGGTAGTTTGCCAGCTTGAGTGAAAATACTCCCTTATTTCAGTTCTTTACATTGGCGAATGCAGCGAGTTGGTACCATTGTTTTCTCTCCATTTAAACCTATGGAAATGAATCGATTCTCGGAGAGGCAAGGTGTGTCATCGAATCGTCCAATAATCGAGTAGTTATTCAACACGGTTCAAATGGAGGAATGTCATTGTTGCCAACCTGCCAGATCCGCCTCTGGGTCTCTGAGAGTCCTAATTTGTATAACTTACAAACTGCCTAGCTCGGAAAAAATGGAAATGCCGTTTAATTGCAGTAAAATTGTCGGTGGGGTCCTACGCATCTTAAAATTTATTTACTTATTTTTCAAGCATGTCCTATTTTTTTTAATTGTACATTCAGAAGATAGACACGAATACCTTCTATTTCGAAAATGCCCATCTTCAATTTTTAATAACATTCATAGTGTACTAGCAAAGAACCGAGCAGTCTCATATTTTGGTCGCGAGAATCTTTTCGGGAACCAAACAACGTGCGCAAAATATACTGTCCATCCTCCGAAGATACTTGGCTAATTCAGTTTTTCCACCCTCTGGAATTTTTGTTTGTTTTTGTTTAGGGGTGAGCTCATTTGAAACAAGCCAATCAATATCCACTCTTTTATCGGTCTTCCTCGCGATGAGTCGAGATTAACCCCGTAAAAGTAATTATGTATGTATGTATGAGCCGCTTTTACGGCGCGCTAGGGCGCTCTGCGACGCCTATTCTCCACAGGAATCTGTCATGGTAGAGATCCTCCGGAAGCTGGCATCTCTCCATCTCTTCATGGATGCCCTCTACCCACCGTTTGGCTGGACGCCCTCTCCGTCGCCTACCTGGGGGGACCCACTCCAACACCTTCTTCGGCAACCTGGTATCAGCCATTCTCTGCACATGCCCATACCATACCAATTGCTTGGTCATGATATCGTGCACAATCGTCCCCTCAACGCCCATTATCTCTCGGACACGTTCATTCCTGACACGTTCTCTCCTCGAGATTCCAGCCGATCTTCGCCAGAAATCCATCTCGGTCGCCTTGAGCATTTCTTGGGTCCGCTTCTTCAACTGCCACACTTCACTGCCATAGGTGATAATAGGCTTGACAACCGAGTTATAAATCCTCTTCTTGTTGTCTTTGGAAATCCTTTGGTCCCAAAGGATCCCATTAAGCATGGCGATGGCTTTCCTTCCTAGAAGATTACGGTCCCGAATGGCCTGATCCAGCTTCCCATCCGAAGTCAGGTTCACCCCCAGGTACTTGTATTGTTCGCAACTTTCTATATGTTGACCATCCTCCAGGACTATGCTTTGCTGAGCGCCTCCGACTGACATCTTTTTTGTCTTACGGACACTAACCTCGAGGCCCCATTTGCGGTACTCCTCCACCAACTTCCGGGTCATATACTCCGCGCCATCGTGATCTTGACTTATGACTACCTGGTCGTCAGCAAAGCATAGCGTGAACAGTGTTTCTTGGTCATTTAGAGGGACGCCCATGCCGGCACACTTTCTTTTCCATTCCTTCAGAACGTGCTCTAGATATATCTTAAACAGCGTCGGTGACAGACAACATCCCTGCTTAAGCCCCTTGGTGACAAAAAAACCGTCTGAAAGCCTTCCTTGGCACTTAATTCTAGCAAAAGCCCCCCGATAAAACTGCTTGACTGCCCCAATAAGTCCTTTACTAAAACCAGTTTCTTCTAGGACTTCCCAGAGTTTCACAAGAGGAATACTATCATAAGCCTTTTCAATATCCAAAAACACTAAATGAAGCTCCTGGCCAACAATTCTCTTCTTTTCGGTTAACTGGGTAACACAGAACAGATGATCAGCGGTAGACCGACCAGCCCTAAAACCTGCTTGCTCCTCCGCCTCGAACGGGGTCCACTCCTCTTCGATCTTCGCTTTCAGCACTTTTCCATAAATTTTACTTATCGTTCCTGTCACCGCTAACCCTCTGTAGTTCCCACAGTCATCCTTCCTTCCTTTTTTATGCGACGCTGTTATCCAGGCCTCTTTCCATTCTTTCGGGATGTCATCACCGTCAATGCACTTCTGCAGCAAATCCCTGAGATGGTTAACCAACTTGCCAGTCCCACATTTAATTAACTCGGCTGGAATGTTTCCTGGCCCAGGAGCTCTTCCATTCATCAATTCCCTGATTGCTTTGACCACCTCCTCAACTCGAATTTCCATTGAGTGATCCTCGACTATATTTTCAGCATTCCCCGTTTGAAACTCTGGTCGTCCTTCCGTCAATAATTTATTAAAATGTTCGTCAAGCTGTGAGATTGTTATCGGAGATATAATGTCCCGTTTCATGTCCCTTCTTAGGCCTTTGATCAGCTTCCAGCTCTCAGCACTCTTCCTTCCCCCCAGGTATGTGTCAATCCTTGAGCAGTTGGTCTCCCAAGACTCGTTTTTCTTCCTGGTGATTAAAAGACGAACCCTCGCCTGGGCTTTCCTATACGCGCCGCGGGTGTCTGCAGTCCTAGAAGCCAGATAATCATGGTACTTCCTACGCTTTTCTTCAATTACCTCCTCTACCTCTTTGTCCCACCAGTAGGGTTTCTGTACATCCTTGCTCTCATTACACATACCCAGGGCTTCCTTCGCAGCTGAATGTATGCAACTTTTGATGAACTGGTACAACTCTTCTGCAGTATCGAAAGTTTCTACTCCCAGTTTCTCATCCAGCCGCTTCCTGTAGAGCGCTTTCACGCTTTCATGCTGTAAGCTATCGATGTTGTAGTGCACTTGTTCGATCTTCGTTCCTTGTGGCTGGCACTTCTGATGTTGCAAGGTATTCCTCTGCAGCCCATACTTAACCGGAAATGCAATCTCCGCCTTGAGAAAATGGTGATCACTACCACAGGAGAACCCCCGGCAAACTCTTACTTGTTGAACCTTCATGGTACTCGTTTGCCTGGTGACCGCGTAGTCGATGATTGACTTCAGCCCCCGAGTTTGCTGAACCCACGTGTACTTATGGATATCTCGATGTTGGTAGAATCCGTTCAGTATTTTCAACTCGTTTTGTTCACACATATCAATAATGCGTGCACCGTTGTCATTCATCGCCTCTTCACCGAAAGGTCCAACAACTTTAGAACCATTCCTTCGTCCGGTTCTACCATTCAAATCTCCCATGATAATGACCTCCCTTGTCCTTCCAACCCTCAGAACCTCGTCGTTGAGTTGCTCAAAGAACTGATCCTTTAGATTGACGGGAGCATCATCATTCACACCATATACTCCTAACAGGGCCACCTTGTGACCATGCAGTGTAAGATGCATTCTGATGATCCGCTGGTCTACTGCTTCCCAAGTAGTTATAGACGGACGCAAACTTTTCCGGATAAGTATGGCGACTCCTTGCTGTGCGCGTTGATCTTTACTGACACCACTATAGAACAGATCATAACATCCTAAGTTTTCTGATCCTGTGCCTTTCTTTTTCGTTTCTGTTAACACGGCGACATCTACATTATACTTTTTTACCTCCGATACAACCTCTGTCAATTTATTAGAAATGCCCTGTACATTCCATGTCCCAAAAACCATTGTCCTTTTCCGTAGTTTGTGTCGCAAAATCCGTTTTTTTCCATTATCACCGAGGCTATCTTTATTAGGCTTTTTAACATTAAGTTTTTTCCGGGTATCGGGGAGTTAGCCCGATGCCCCAACCCCCAACCTGGAGGACCAGGGTTTGATTTTGGAGTACCGTCTCCTAGACAGGCTGCTTTCACCACAGCTATGAGCCCTGTCTGCCCCTCTGATGAGTGGTTCATACGCCATGAAGCCGGTGACCATCTTCACCCCCCTTTAAGGCAGGGGCTACCAGCTGGGGTCCGCAGGCTTGCTAAACCTGTGACAGTACTGAGTACAGTCCCCCATACGGTAAAAGTAATTATTCTTTTCGTGACAACAAACCCTCCCTTTTTTGCTTTTAATGGATGCTCGATGAAATGTCAATTAATTTGTTTGTTTTTTTTTCGTTTCAGACAACGACTTATACACGGGGACTGTCGCTGACTTTTCTGGGATGGATCACATCATCTACAGGGAGCCCCTTCAAACGGAGCAATACGACTCGATGAGCTTAAATGGTAAGTAATGTCACTTTGAATGCCAATGAAAGGACGAGGAAGTTGAGAAATCGTGCGGACGGAGGGGAGGGGGAGGAGAAGGAGGGGAAGGAGGAGGAATAGGAAATTAGGCGGGCGGAAAAAGAGACACCGAAGGGAGAACTCTGAGCTTAAGACGGACGATTAAAGCTTGATGGATGCGAAAGAAGGAATACGAAATCCGGAGGGGAAATGAAGGAAGGGATGGAAATTGGCGTAATTAGGTCAGGAGAATCGGGTCAGTTGAGTTCGGGGAGGGTCAGTCGTTGGAAGTCCGCGAATCCTCTCTCGCCGTTAGATTTTATGTTTCGTTTCGTTTATTAGTTGTGATGTAAAGATTTACCAGCAGGATATAAAACCTCGGAAAGATAGGGAAGCGTTTGCGAACACATGACGATTTTCGAGCGGGATTTAGGGATGAACCGATGCATACAGTTTTGTCTGCACTCTTAACTTTAAAAAAAGAAGGAGGGAAGTATTTGAATGCTGCCAAATTGAACTGATTAAAGGTTTATTTATAAATTATATCTGTTGAAATTTTTAGGAATACAGTTTTGTCCGCACTCTTGACTTAAAAAAGGAAGAAAAAGGTATTTGAATGTTGCCGAATTGAACTGATTAAACTTTTATTTATAAATTATTTCTGTCGAAATTTTTAGAAATGTTCGATAAAATTAACAATTAATTACTCTGAAATTATTCAAGTAAAATGTTCACGAATGTTCGGAAAATTCGGATTTTCTGAAGAAATTCGGCAATAGTCGAAGTTTCTCACCGCGTTTATCTTGAGCTTGAGAGAGTTAATATCTCTTATGTCGGCCCATACAAGATGCAACGCCAAGGGCCAAGAATGATGCCAACGCCTTGATGCAACTATTCGTGCTCCGGAGACTTCTCTGTTGCATACTTACAAAAATGAAGGCGAAATGAAGCGCCATCTGACTTGCTCAAGACATCGCTGCAGCCAGCAAACTTCGATTCCTTTTTACTCGAGTCGGTTGCTAATCGTCCGGCAACGTCTTCGGATAAGTCATCGCAACTAATCGCCCAAAAACGTCCCTAGGAGTCAAGTCGCGGCAACTAATCGCCCGCGTCGGGTCGTCCGTCGAGCGCCAGCGTTTTAGGTCAGTGCGCAAAGGCGAGGCTCGCGAAGAACCCATCTATCGCGTTTCCACGTCGATGATTAGTAGTGGCAAAGCGTGGATCGTTGACAATCGATATTCTCTCATCTGAAGCTTTAAAGGAGAATCGATTATTTAAGTACACCTCGATAATCGATCCTTTTCCTTACTTGTAAAGGGTGGATCGATCGATCCATCGCAAATCTTGACCCGCCATCGACGACTTTTCGGACGAAAATCGTATTTTAACACCGGCGGCCACCGCGTCTGAATCGAGAAGCATTTCCGACAATCGATATTTTACAATTTGAAGTTTTGATAATGAATCGATTACTTAGATGCACCCTGATAATCGACCCTTTTACTTAGGTTTAATGGCAGCTCAATCGATTCATCGCAAACCTTGACCCGCCAACGACGACTTGACGGACGAAAATCGTATTTTAACACCGGCGGTCACCGCGCCTGAATCGAGAGGCATTTCCGCACCTTTCGCCGCCCCGATAAAAGCCGCTCCCCTCCGCCCCCGCCCTTCGCGGGCCGTTTTCATTTCAGAGAGTGCGGGCATCGCCCTCATAAAGTGTCTTTTATCTCCGCTCCCCGGGTTTAATGAGAAACACAAAACTTTTTCTCTCGTTTTTCTGGACCCGACAACTCCATAAGCTCTATCGATTAAGCGCGCTCGACTTTGAACGTTTAATCTCGGGGCCGGCCTTTTCGCGTCGGGCGGCCGCCGGGCATACTGCCGTGCTAGGGAAGAACGCCGTATGAACACTCGAGAGTTGCCAAATTTCTTCCGATTTAATGTGTATTTTCAAAGAAAGTTATGGATATTTTCCCTTGAAATTTTTAGGAACTTTAGGTGAAATTGCGTACAAAATGATCTGAAAAATCGAAAGGAAAATATTCATAAACGAGGCAGGAAATTCGTGTTTTATCAAAAGAAATTTGGCAACGCCTGAAGGTTCATACGTTTTTCCTTAGTACAGCAGCATAGCTGTCTAGTTTTTTTCGCTGAACCACCGCACAGTGGATCGAGTCAATTGGAGAGGTAGAACATGAAATATTTGACTGAAACTGCAAATTTTGATGTTCATTTCGTCACATTTTAAATTTCAAGGGGTGCTTATTGAAGAAAATTTTACGAGAAAACCAATGGACCCACTTTGAGAACCTCAAAATTGTATATGAACGGAGTAATAAGCTGTTAAAGTTTCCAAATTTTTTCCGACCTCTCCTATTGACTAGATTCACTGTGCGCCACACTATTTTGCGGGTCCGACGCCAAAAAGTCCGAAAATTATTTTACTTTATTTCATTTCATATAATTATTACTTTGGCAGAAGTTGGGAAGTCCAATAACAGTTTAAAGCCAGGATGTCTGACGTTATCACTTGGCAAAGGATTTCAAAACTTTATTTGTAAATCAATTTCATCCATAAATCTCGTTCATTTCTAATAGAAGACCACCTCTATACTACATTTTATCATGACGTCATCATTGCAACCAGCCATGGTCGATGCAAAAAGTGACGTCATAGCTTCAAGCGGCAACATGCAACATAGCTTCAACCGTCTGTTCGGATCGGATATGAGATGAGCCAGGTCGCTCTGGTCCGAAACCTTTGACCGTCGGTGCCCGTTTCCAAGTTGCCAAACTACATTTCTCTCCCCATTTTTCTCATACATTTTTATACATATTATTAAAAAATCCCCGAGCTGTGTGAAATTCCGACAACCTCCTATTCAAAAGCTCCAAGCCAGGAAATGGTCCCACTCCGCCTCTCCTCTCGCCAGAATGCGGCGTCGCCTCTTAGTGCAGGAATTTCACAATTATTTAGTTTAAAATTCATGCTTTTTAATGCTGAATATGGCAATTCCGCTGCAAGGACGGTAAACAAATCAGGCGAAGTGGCGGAAAGCGGACTCATAAATTCCCAGTCGCGGTTGACCGCGGTCGTTAAAAATCCCCGATTTCCTATCGGTGTAGACGGGTAAAATGAACCGTTTTTAAGTCGATTTGGCAACGCCTCCGCGCCGCTCCGCTCGACATATTTTTCGCAACGATTAATGTTTTATCAAAATAGGATGTTATTTAAAGTGCCCCGGGGTTGGTCAGCGCAGGTGGAGGGGGCGGCCGGGGCGGGGATGAAAAATGATTGAAAATAACAGGCATGTCCGAGTCCGTGAATGCTCGTTTCGCTTTGCATTTGTATGTTTGCCGTTTTTTTTTTTTTTAAACTAGTGCACTCTTCGCAACGCCGCCATCACTCGAAATTCTCTGCGAAAGCGGATAACTGCTCTGCCGTGCTAAGGAAAAACGGATTTTTTAATGGAAATATTGTTCTATACTATTGGTAACAATGTTGAAAACAGGATTGTCTCACTGTATTTTTAAAGAAGGTTTTGAGGAGGCTTAAACATGTGCACGGAGAAAGAATCAGAAGTAAATAGATATCGATGGTAACGCGTGCGCGTTGCGTAAAAATAGTAAAACGCCTTCAAATGCGCTTGATACCTCCGGGGCCGGGGACAACTTACGAGGTTGAATAGTTGCATCCTCAATTCTGTCAGCAACTACTTGCCTCTTACCTCCGATGTAAGATCTCTGAAAAAGAATGAGAGGGTGTTCCGATGAAGAGGGAAACCGGTCAGCCATTATCGCTATCAGTCGATTTAAAACCTAACATTTTCAAAAACGTCAAATTTTACACGGAAAGGAAAACGAAAAGACAATTTTGAAAACACTGTAATCGAGTTGGTCCACTTCTGATAAATGCAGTCCGCCTTTTTGCAGAAAGCAATGCTGGTACGAAGTAAAGTACCTATATAGGGAGAGTTATGGACAACTCGAAATATGTAGCTCTTAGGGCCCAAAAGGGTAGGTAACCTTTGAAAACGAAAAATGTCACTGTCAATCTTTAGACTCAAATATCAAACGAAAATGGACAAGAAAATTCATGAGTAAGCATTCTTCCGCAAAAATGAGTAAGTTTATGCAAAAACCAAGTCAAATGCGTGCTTTACCAACGACAGTTCCCAACAATTGTGATTATAAATCACTCTGGATAATTTGAATTCATAGATTGCCAACCCTTTTGGGGTCTAAAAGCTCCATCACCTAACCTCAAAATTTTCGACATATCCGTACTCTACCTACATAGGTACTCTAGTACGAAGTAACAGATTTCCTCTACTAATGTGCGAAGGATAACCCTCTCTCCGCACAAAGGTACCCAACTCAGGTCCCCTTTTTACCACCTATCACAGACGATCGGAGCGTGGAGGATATTAATGCCCAATCGGTTTCGTCGGTCGGGGGCACGCAACGCGCCGCACTGCTCTAAGCCCCGGGATTGCGCTCAAAGAGCCGAGCGCTCGGAAATTCGCCAAATTTGCGGAAGCAAACCAGATGTAAATAATAAATGCGGCCGAATTTGAGCAAATACCCCGATCCGGGTGCGTACGTAACATCGATTAATGGCGAGGAGATTTCGACTGCGGGGACTTCCCGGGGAGGATTCTCCGATGGGGCGGGGGGGTTACGTGTGCGGTACCGCGTCGGCCGCAAACCTCGTTCGGGCTAATCCGGTGGCATATTTACGGTGGAATATTAGCATGCCGGCTTTGAGTTAATGCTATTATTCGCTTTAAATCAAACTGCCGCGAGTCGCTAAGCTTCCTCGTTCGACGCTGCTTTGCCTCAACTTATCACCTCTCAGTTTCGCGGTCCGCCCCGTCCTCGCTGACTCGGCCCCTTCTACGGCCCTGGGGCCTAGGGGTCGGAGGGGGCCTTAGCCTTTCGTTGGCCGTGCTGAGTCGCGCGAGGACTCGCGTCTGGCGGCGTCCCTTGAAGGCTTT